GAGTATGTACATTTGCAAAATAAATATGGTGCTATATACAGTTGTTAAATATAATATATATATATATATATATATATATTGCACATTATGGTATGGAATATTGCACATTGTATGATTCAAGAAGATTCAACAAAATGACAAAATGCAACAGACATTGCAATTAAATGTAGGTATATACAATATACAGCAATACACACCGTGCAATTTAGCAGCATAAATTGAAATAAAATAAGTACAAACTAAATAAGTGATAAGGAGAGACTGGGTAAAGTGGTAATAAAAGGGTTGTAAACATGTATCAAAAGGTTTTTTTCCCCCTTCACGTTTAATTATTTGATCATATGTATCAGTGGTCTTCAATTTTAAAGTAGATCTGCGACATTTACAAGGATTGTAAATATATTGTTCGACTTTTTAAATTAAAAATGTACAAAAAAATACTTAAACAATTAAATGGGAAACAAATATTGTCAAAAAATAGATTTATTGTGTGTGTGTGACACACAATAAATAAACACTGAATAAAACAGCAATATCTGCCCAAATGACAAAATGATACATTGGTCTGATCATAAATAATAATGACAGCCCCCACTAGAAGACTATAGGCATGTTACTTTAAAAGCATATGCGGAGATTAAAATGTGATAATAGCCAAACACAAAGGTCCTATACTCATGAAGGCTTACCTATAGAATTACCTATAGAACCTGCCCCCCAACTCACCTCATGCGTAAGTGCTCATACATGCATGCTGCAATAGGATGGCATTACGTTGGTGCTAATGGTGTTATGAAGAAAAACATACTGGGAGTTCACTGGGTTCAGTTTGCATGAGCTCTCTGCTGTGTGTGGCTATAGGCGGAGTTGTTTCCCGGCACAGAGCGCAGAGCGGCGCCCCACCACCGCCTTTGCGTCAACCATCCTCACACAGCCAGTGACACAACACAACATCAGCCCCTCGCAGCATCCGCATCTCACGGCCAGGAGGACCAGGAGCACATCTTCATCTAAGCATCCATTCCACAACTGCCCACCACCGTCTGCGCACCGCCGACACAGGCGCCTTCATCCAACGCTTGCTATTTTGTTTTCGCATCGGCTCGGATTATTTTCTTTGTTGCAATTTATATTCTCCGAGATGGTTTTATGTTTTTAATCTCGTCTTGTGAGGAAAAACAGACTTGGGACGCGGAGCATCATCGTTACAGCGCAATCCTATTCTCTGTGAGCAGGAGATCTGGTAAGTTTACGTTCATTTTTGGAACATATTCGTGTAGGCTTTCAGACTGTACAGATTTATGGATCCATTATATGTGAAAACAGGTGATGCGCATTAAGAAAATATGGCAATAAATGGGCAGAAATGGGGTTGTGGAGCTATAGGCAGCCACATCCACAGACATATTGTGAGATAGTAACGGATAGCGGGGTGGAAAGATGAAGATTTCCTTCATTTTTAAGCCACCGCCTATTACGGCCAGCATTTGCACTTCGACGCAGACGCTCAGCTTCAGCACCACGGAGAGCACCCGATGTACACAGCACCATCCCCGCCAGAGCGCATCATTCCCGGCCCAGACAAGTCCCTCTAAAAGCGGCTGTTTGGGAATTTCTCCACAACTGACCGAATCAGATTGATAACAGGGTGATGGAATGAGGCATCGAGCAGCTCGGATTCTGCGCAAAGGGAGCCAAGTCGATCCATCTGCTGTGTTTCGTATGCATAGGTACAGTACTGCAGTGGGGATTAAACCGCGTCGTGCACAGAAAGAATCTCATATCTCTTTGTTTATCTCGTTTTAACGGCGGCACATTCTATGACCTTGGATTTGTGCTTCCATATGCTGAATCCTATATGCATCAACCGCGACCTTCACCTGTTATTAAGGTGTTTACGTTTCTGTCTTCCATTTTAGTGAGAGGGGTGGCGCGTGGTTCACTCGTCGGCCATTGCCCATAAAATATGGATCTGTCGTCATTAAATGTTTATGAATTTACCATACAGGGTGCATTTAAATCATATGGAGTAGAATTCATTTTAATAGCTGATGCCAAATCTCTCATATTCTTATATATCTGCTCTAATTTACTGCAGATGAATATAACCATCCGCACAATTTCACACTGAAATGCTGATAATGTTAGGATGATTTGATGCCTTATTGCATTGATCATTTGCAGCAAGGAGGGATCTATAGCCTACTGATTGAATTAATTAGTATAAGCATAGGCTGATCCATTCCACCACTTACTGAGTCAAATCAATGCTGCTAATAAGCCTGAGGTACTGTCAGATAAACCACTCAGGCTCACATTCATGAGGACATTTCAGAGCTGATAACAATGATATTATCTGATGCAAGCTGAATAATTATAGATCTAATGTGAGATCAAACACATTTGGTTTGCTTTTTGTGAAAATCAGTGGATAATTTAAGGTAATTGATCCTTCAACAATTATTTTTCTGATTATTGATCTTTTGTGCTTGCAGCAGTGGCCATCCGGAGACGCAGAGAGCTGAAATACAACAGAGGCTGTTTAAGTCGAGGTGATCGTTATCCCCCCCAGAGAGCTTCCCACCGGACTATTTCCTCCTAGGCTTTAGATGCCCAGCGGCAGCCTGTAGCCCGGGACTCCCAGCTCCCCCAAGCATTGAGGCTTTGAGACCCCCAGGATCTCCCCTGGCAGACGCTCTTCTGACCCAGTGCGGCTACAGCCCCTGGACGCCTCCCCGCAGTCACCATGGGAACCGTGCTGTCTTTGTCACCTAGCTACCGAAAGGCGGCTCTCTTCGAGGATGGACCGGCCACTGTGGGCCACTACACAGCTGTCCAGAACAGCAAGAACGCCAAAGACAAGAACCTGAAGCGCCACTCGCTCATCAATGTGCTCCCGTGGAAGCGGATTGTAGCAGTGTCAGCCAAGAAGAAAGGCTCCAAGAAGGTGCAGCCCAACGGCAACTACCAGAACAATGTCACCCACCTGAACAATGAAAACCTGAAGAAGTCGCAGTCATGCGCCAACCTGTCCTCCTTCACCCAGGATCAGAGCACTCCGGCTCTCACCAAGAGCTCCAACACAACAGTATCGTCCGTCAAGAAGGCCCCTCTGGCCAACTCCAATGCGGCCCCCGGGACCCCTAAGAGAGTGATTGTCCAGGCCTCCACCAGTGAGCTGCTGCGCTGCCTCGGGGAGTTTCTGTGCCGGCGTTGCTACCGGCTGAAACACCTGTCACCCACTGACCCAGTGCTGTGGCTGCGCAGCGTGGACCGCTCCCTGCTGCTCCAAGGCTGGCAGGACCAGGGCTTCATCACCCCTGCCAACGTGGTCTTTGTCTACATGCTGTGCCGTGATGTGGTCTCCTCCGAGGTGGCCACAGAGCACGAGCTGCAGGCCGTGCTGCTTACCTGCCTGTACCTGTCTTACTCCTACATGGGCAACGAGATCTCCTACCCTCTCAAGCCCTTCTTGGTGGAGAGCTCCAAGGAGACCTTCTGGGACCGCTGCCTGTCCATCATCAACCTGATGAGCGCGAAGATGCTCCAGATCAACTCCGACCCGCACTACTTCACTCAGGTGTTCGCTGACCTGAAGAATGAGAGCCAGAAGGAGGAGGAGAGGAGCCGCCTGCTCATCGGCCTGGACCGGTGAGGGGATGCTGGGGGGGAGGAGAGGGTTCAGAGGAGGAGGGGGGTACTCCAGTCTGGCATTTTGACAAGTTTGGAAGATTATTTGTGATGCAGTTTATTTATTATTGTCCAAACTGTGGTGGGAGGAGGCTAATTAGGAAGTATTTGACATTTATAACACCTTTGTATCTGGTAAGAGAATCTACAGCTCTGCAGCGGGGTTCAGTGATTGCATCTGACAGATAACAGTTGCAATAGTCACCTAAAAATGGGGCATAGTGTTTAAAAAGCAAGAGCACTAATCCGCCTCTTCTTGAATACATGTTATCATGGAGGCCAGATTCTATTTTCAAACGAGCAAAGGGCGGATTTCCTGTAAACTTGAGAATGAAAGCTTTTTTGACAATGATATATAAACAAAACAAAAAAATGCCAGACTTGGGTAAATCCTTTGCTAACGTACAGATATATATATCTATATGGAAAAAAAAAAACAATTCAGACAAAAAGACACACACACACACGAAAAAAAACAAAAAAAACATTAGAAAAGGAAGCATACATCTACAGCAATGAATGTGGACAGGACTGAGGCTGCAGCAGCCTACCAGTGACCTGCTGACTGTTTGACGATGTGATGTGCACTGCCTACTGCAGGAGGGTGAGGGCCATCGCCTGACTGGCTTTCTTCATGCATCACGGATGAACAGGCATCCCCCGGCTGCAAACCCTGGCTCTTTGGAATGCCAACACCACGTCCCCTCCATTAATACGGATACGGCAGGACTTTTTCTTTTTGCTGCGATGCATATCTGAGGGAACAGCAGGGGCCTTCAGTGCTGGATCCATACTTTTTTGTGGGTTTCTGTTTGTGGCTCTACAGCAGGACTTATACTGTACATGGTAAGACTGGATGGACAATAAGCAAACACTGCATTGTGGGACTTTTGATAAGAAGACAACAGCCTGGGGACGTGTGGCCAGCGATGAGTGGTCATACTGTGTGTGTGTTCAGAAACACCTACTTTATTTTCATCTAGAAAAAAATAAAAGAACAAGTTAATGGATGTTTTACTCCCCAGAGGCTTACACCTATGGAGGCTTATTTATTGCTTTTCTGGAACAAGTTTTCTTTGATTTCTTTCTTTTTTACTTAGAAATGTAATGTTTTGCACGTGTGCCATGCAATTTTACAGAGTTTCCAGGAGGGCAGGAGCAATTATTACGTTTCTTCTTTTTACTTGATTTGTAAACCAACTGCATCTGCATTAGAGAATGCTGTGAAAAAAGTGACACTAGTTTTTTTAGCTATGCTTGCTAAAATAGGCTATTTGTTTACCAGGGAAATTCTTTTTGTACTTTTGTCGATAGGTTGTGTTGCAACCACTTTGGAATGATGTTTAATTTTGTGCTTATTATTCAGCATAGAAAATGTTAAAACAGTGCCATATCTTTGATGAAAATCCCACAGGTCGGAAATACTGTACTGTTTGTCCAGCTGTTAAATGATGGGGTGGATTTTCATCTCCTAATAACTACTTACTGACACCTAATTTATTGCCATTTACGTATTTATTTAGGCGCATTTAATGTAAATGAAAGATTAGATGAGAGACTTTGAAAAGGGAAGGGCATGGAGAGGGGTTTTGCTGGTAGAGCAGGTGTGCTTATCTTTGGTGGGAATGAAGATTGATCTGGTTTATACAAACGAGCGTTGAAGGAATTTATTGATCAGTGTCTAATTAAAAAAGCCCTGAGGTCAAAACCAATGTCAAATCTGACCATCACCAAAGTGATATCATCAAGGACACCTTACCCGAACAACACATCACTGACCTTATACTTAAGAAAATGCCCCCCAAAAAACATCTTTTTGTCCTGCACCTCTGGCCTGTATGAGGAGCTAACCAAACCTGCGGTCCCACATATCAGAAAGAGAAAGCACACACGTTTCTCCAGGGGAATAGATCACTTCAATGACGCTCGGTCGTTCGGCATCACTGCAGAAAAGCACAGCTTACCTTGAGAATAATCCATCAGCATCACCTCTGTGTAATTTAAATGTGAGGTGACCTCACATCCATCTAGGGGCTGCAGGAAGATGAGGCGACCTCCATGGGGGAATAATCACGTTTTCAATCATAGAGACCACTTGACTGAAACGACACGCTGCAGAGTGCGATGGCAGCGACGTGACAACCAAAAACAGAAAGCATGCAGAACAGTTTCTGTTTCACGGGAGAATAGTTGAAGCTACTTCACTGCAGCTATCTGCCGTCTCCGTAATGACTGCAATCACCGGAGAAGCTACAGTATTTCCATCCAGAATTGTATGAGAAATGTTTTTACTGGTTTCCACATCTCATCTCAATATAGACGAATCGTGCATACTCTCTTTCTTTAGCAGTGTTCTGAAAAGCGTAATGGGCTGGTTGTGCCAACTAAATGCTTCTGTCATGTTTTAAAGTTGTTCCCAGAGGATGGAAGGCTTCTCCGCTGCCTTGTTAGTGTGAATCAGAGAAAATGAGCAGCTCTGGCGGTCACGACCTGCGACCTCCTCTGCTGTTGGATTGTGGCAGCCATATGGAGTTAGATCAGTGAGAGAAAGTTAATTTGGAGTGTTTGTACTGGCACAATAGGGGGACTCGCACTTTGGATGGGCTTCTGCTCTGGCAGAATAAAGCAGGGCATCGGGGTAAAGGGCCTCAAAAAAAGGAGAGCCTGAATCTTTTTCTCTCTGTCCACTTGCCCCGACTCACTTGAAATGTGCCATTTTTTTTCCACTTTGCATCATTGAGTAGTTGTTTGAGAAAATACTTTCAAAAGCTTATAAAATATGAAAAAAGACTCAAGTGATAGTTAAAGATTTCTGTCAAATTCTTTTCTGTATCTTGTTGCGTACTTTGTAGATAAAAAAAAACGAAACAGTGGTTAGGAACTTGGAAAAGAGAGAGAGGCATTCGATGGCTGCATGTGTGCGCGGATGTGTGTGCGTGTGTGCGCGAATGACAGCGTTTTATTTGTACAGAAGAATGTGTGACATGTTGTTTTCTTATGGACACAGAGCATACACCGACCACACCGGTACCAGGACTTGATTTTTCCTCGGCAGGGGGGTGAGGGAGGGGGTGTTGATGCTGTTCAATAAAAATGTTCTTTTTTGAAAAAGACAAAAAAGCTGTTGCTGTAATTGAAACCTTTTTCAGTTAGTTTCTGCTTATTTTAATTTATTTTTGTACTGTGATGGAAAAATAAAATGCACTGATCGTTCAAGGCGGCCACTTGTCTTTTGTGCCTCCATCTGTGAAAAACAACACCTTTATACAGTTTCAGTGAGGAACATCCATAGTTACACACATTCACACCTGAAAGCTGCACACAACCACAGTCTGATCTGTGGGTTAAGGTCATTGCTCAAGGGCACCAGGGTAACGGTAATTAGGGAGGGGCAAATGTTGCTCTTTCCCCACCCAGATTTACTGGCAGTGTGTGTACAAGTCTGGGAATTAAATCAATGAATTTGATTTATTTGTACTTTACGTCTGGGGCGGTTGTAATTCTACATGTAGGCTATTAATTGAACAGATGGCGGTTCGATCCCCCACATATCGAGGTGTCATTGAGCAACAACACTCAACACCAAATGGTCCTAAAGTGTGCATCTATGTGAGAAAAATCAAAGCCGCACTGGATGATGTAAAAATCTCAACAGTGTTTCAGTAGTTAGTGTTTCCTCTCTGATCGAAGCCAGCTGCTCTGGTGCCTTATACACACAAAATCACTGTGCAGTACATGACACCTTGTATCATTAGATCCTCAAATTGGATACAGAAAAAGACCCCAGAAAAAGCCCTAGCGGGGGAGAAAAAGTGCAGAGTGGACAGAGGAGGGATAGATATACAATGTACAGAATAGACAGAGTAGCACCACCATCTTAAATGTTCCAGGAGTTGTTGATCTGTGACTCTGAACTGTTTCAGTGGTGCCCGACCCTTTTTGTCTGAAGAGCACCCACAGCCCTATTTTCTTCCAGTAGATTTGTTTCCATTCGTTCTAACACTTGAGTGTGGTCGAAGCTGAAGGCGCAAAAACCCATTCATCCATTCCATTTAGTGATCTCTATTTCTGCTATTAAAAAAGAATATCTATCTCACTTCTCTGCTTTCTCAATCACAGCACATGGTGTTCACCGCTCCCCAATGACTCAGGTCAGTGGGAGGCTTATCTTGTGTAGTTGGCCTTATCATAGCTCTTAGGTTATTTATGAGCATAAATGTGCTAAATCTGTATTCCTATATGTGTTTATGTTCCTCTTAAACACAGATATGTGGATAATAAACCCTCTGGCAGCTGCAGTAGTCGTATCTTCTGGGCTACACATAGTTGGGAATCAGTGCTGCATCTCCAAATGTACTGCGAGTCCCCCCCACATACACAGATTAGTTTGGGTCAGGTCACTCATCGCATTTCACTCTCCGTCCATTAATTCCAATTTATTTAACCACCCGGTCAGCAGCCCTGTCTTACTCAGTCACTGCCCTTGGGAAAGAAAAAGTCATCCCACTCTTTGCTGCAGATAGTCATCCATCAGCGAGTGGATTAGAAACCCCTGCTGAGGTAGCTGGTGATGGCTGACACGTTGGCAGTGGGAAGCGGCGTTGTCATGCCGACTGCAGGGGTTTCAGCCGCCTCGACGTCACCGGGTGAAACAGCTGTTAGTGGGTGGATTAACGCTGGGCTCTACCCAGCTATTACCACATCACAGACTACGGCTGGCCTCAGGAAACATTACATTTAACATAACATCAGTCTTTGCATGATATCAACACTAATGACACACACACACACACTCACTCACACACACACACACACACACTCGTAAACAAGCTCAGATAATGACTAAAAGAAGCGGCTACTGAAGCAAATAAATTTATTGATAAAGTGATTAATGACATATATCTTTCATTATGGAACATGGTGGAATGCCTAGTCTGCATTTATACAGAATACATTTGCACAAACATAGTATCACAACAGGGAAGTTCCCTTTAGCTCAGGATATTACAGTATATTTATGGTCTGTAATCACAAATATGCAAAATATAAACTTAATATAAAATTAGGCACATACTGGATGAATGGTGTATACATTTGCTTAAAGCCACTGAATATGGAATAAATTATGGAAATGGAATTTGTTACCCTTTGGCTAATGCGGACGTGCTCGGTAATAAGAGTCAAAATGTTTCTGGAACAAAAACACTGAAAACTAAGATCCCACTGTAGAGAGCAGTAGAGGGAAGAACACAATGGCACGAGTCTCCTAGTGTTAACATTCATATCTGACATTCCTTTATGCCCATTTAGAAAGTGGTAATTAGAAAATGTCTGTTATTTTTACACTTGAGGCAAAGCTGATAATCAGCGGAATGGAAAAGTAATCTAGGCTGATTGGGTCTGCACACCAAAGACTAATCATTAAAGGATAAATCTGGTGATATTCCATAGCTTTGTTACTGTCAACAAATACTATGAAAAGACCAAAACCAACAATGATCCTACTAATGAGTAATGTTTGGATCCACAGTATTTACATTTCAGGTTAAAAGCTCTTTCTCCTTTTTTAAAGTTTTTGTTGCTGCATGATACTCTATTGTTCGACACGTCTAGTTGCTGGTGTATTTCCCCTTTTTATTTCCATGCCTCCTGGGCACAGGACGGCTGAAGGAAAAAAAAAACAAAAAACTGAAATAGGAAAACCTTCACTGCCCTGCAGGACGGTACAGTCGGCCCAAGTGGGCGAGGAGCGAGGTGATTTCACAGAGGAAGGAAAAGCGTAAAAGGAGGGAGGGTGGAAGAAGAAAGCAGAGGGAGTAGAGAAGAAGATGAGGCCAAGCGAGGCTTTGTTCAGCAACCCCCCCTTTTGCCTTAAGAAAACGGAGAGAGAAGCGCTGAAGTGAGAAGTGACACGGAGTCCATCCTAATGATGAGCGGTGAATAGCAGAGCAGAGCGGAGCAGAGGCCCTGTGGGAGATTACCATGCTGAAGGATATGGAGAGCTGCAGTGTTATAGTCCACACACACACACACACACACACACATAAACTCATCACAGGCAGCTCCTGCGCCTGAGCTCCTTTTAAAACTGTCTATTAAAGCTACCAGTGTCACTTCCTTAATCCACACTATAAATGCAAGTTTCCCCAACAACTCCTTTCTGCATCAAAGTGCGTTATCAAGCAGCAGGACGAGGTCAGCCGCCGCAGAGCCGCGAGGTAGAAAGGAAATGTGCTTCTTCAAACGACAGGGGCGCTCACAAACTAATTAAGATAAACGACTTGTGTTCAGACAACACAATTAGAGGACTGTGCTACTGCGGCTAATATGACTGCTAGCAAGTTCTCCTTCATGCTGGAGTAAAGTGGAGAGGAGTGCCTCTGCCTCTTCAACTAGGCCAGACACCGAGGGAGCTCCGATTCATAACCTTGGGCTGTCGTTCTTCAGCCCACAGTCGGTATTCTTTACTTAGCCTTTACACAGAGACAAACCCAGCTCTAAGCCTCTGTGGGTACAGGGACGATACGATTCCTCTTGTAAAAAGAATTTGTGACATTTACCGTCACGGCACCATGACAACCTTAATATGGAGCAAAAAAGTTGGAATAGCTCAACTGACATTTTAGCATTTAGTGAACAAAAACATCTATCTTTATATCAGTTCCTTTCAAATTCAACAATGATTATGTCCTATGCATGGACATTTGAATGATAAAACAATTTTCTTTCTGAGCACTAAGGACTTCTTTTCCACTTTGGCTTTTAGAGCTGACCTTTAGAGTTCATTCTTGAGCTGGTAAACAGCAGTTGAGAAACCAATCTCACTTTTTTTCACCTAACTAAACCTGGAATGATGATAAAATCGAAATCAGCTCGTGGAGGTGAGTTGAGTTTGACTTTGGTGAACTCTGGCGTGCAAATGTGCACTGTTTACCAACTGCAAACCGTGAATGAATATTAATATTAAACATAAAACCAGACATCTCCATCTCGTGAACTTCTCTGCTGCCACAATTTTCACAATGGTCTGAAAAAGAACATATTGTAATGTACACTTAGCAACGGCTGAAAACAAAGAGTGAACACTTTCAACACAGCCGACAGCTTGTGAGAACAGAACAGAACAAACCAAACTCGGAGTGTTCGGCTGCCGATGATTTGATTTGTGTGATTTGGCTTTGAGGAAAAAGCAATGGGAGATTAGCAGCAGCATCAGATGAACATCAAGTCACCAAAAAGTCCACTGTTCATACAAAAAGTCCCTCCCATCGGTAGACGGGGAGGTAAAGTAGGCCAGCAGTCTGATTACAGTCTGTCTTCACTCCTTCACTGTGGCCACTAGCCAGACTCAGTCTCAGAGCCAAGAGGAGGAGACCTGAAAGAGCTCATCAACACACATACAGTACACACGCTCCCACACTCTCTTTCTCTCGGGTGAAGGGGAAATTTGTCAAATAGAAGTCTATTCTAAAGGACTATGGGCCACTACAAGTCATTAGGCTATTCACTCAGCACAAAGACAGCAAATGAGACTATGTTCAGGGGCTGGAGTTCACGTGGGATTATACAGTACTGGCCTCTGCTGCTAAAATAGAGCATTAAGTCTTACAATTTAAGAGAATATGAACTCAGAATACATCTTGGAAGAAAGTAATGCTTTGATTATAGTCTTCATATTTGCCTTCTGTTAGTCAGTTTTAGTTATAGCATCACTTTTTTATACTAAACGCAGTATAAGTTCTATGCATACGCATATCTGAATAAAGTATATTCTAACCTTTAATATACAAGCAATATTGGAATATTATAAAAGTACAAACATTGCAGTAGAGAGTATAAGAAGCAGGATTTAAATTAATAGATTTTAACAGGTTGCGATGTTCAGGATACGCTCAACACATCCTGTGACGAACAAACTGACAATGAATTAGGAATTTGTGCCTCAGACGCCGACAGAACCGCTGAATCACATTCTCGCACTCGCTGTTCCCATATGTGATTGTAAACATTAACTGCACTAAAAGTGGACGCTGTGTTTCCGTTCATTCGCCACATAAGTAGGCAAGTCCTCGATTAAGGTCATTAACAGTATTATTCCTTAGGATATAAATCATATTCTATTTTAGAGCAGATAAAGTCAAAATCAGAGTCATACATAAATATCACCGTACTTCATTTTTCCGGGTTTCACTTTTGATCTGGCTCCTGCACAGGGAGCTGCAGGGATTATTTTTTCCTCAATTATGCAACATCAGTGGTTCAGAGAACAGTTTATATAGTCTCCTCTCACCTTGACTACCACAATATTTCATCTACAAAAAAACTAAATATTGCACAAAGCTAATCATTTGAAATTTGGATTTAAAAAAAAAAAAGAAAGAACACCCCTTTGGTGGATTATCCTGTAGTGCATTTTTTTTAAAAACCTGTTCAGCTAATAACATGTCGCGTGTAGGCGTATTGTACACTTCCTGTTTATAGTAGCGTTGCATGGAAATCTACAAAACAGGTCAAATTTGGCATGGCTTTTCATTCTGAGGATTCAATTAACCCGATCCTCCTAGAGAGCTGCTATCTAAATCATCACATTATCAGCAGCTCTGCAAACGAATAAACACAAGAGGTGAATCAGAAGTGAATCATCATCATCATCATCATCATCATCATCATCATCATCATCATCTCCTCGGCCTGGTTTGATGTCAGCTGTCACTGTTTTTTTCCTCGCTTTAGCCTGGTTTAGTTGCCAGGAACAGCCAGGATGTAGCCAGATCGGCTCTTAGTGAAGTCTGGCTGCGATTGGTTGATCTTGGGCTCCACGATGACCGTGCACTTCCTCCCGTTCATGCTGCACTGGATGGGGCTCGCGATGTTGACCTGCAGCTTCCTCTTCTCACTGCAGATGATAAAAGAGAAAGAAAGAAAGAAAGCAAGCATGAGAGAGTGAAAGAGAAACGGTTCTGGATACTGGCAGGTGTAAGGTTGCACACAGAGGAAGGACTCTTATTACTGCACCCATAATGCATCAGCAGCCTGCCTCAGTGACTTCACATTACAGTCAGTCGTAGCTTAATGCACAGGAGTAAAACATGCAGGTCCATTAGTAACCTGTGTGTGCCTGTGTGAATATGAGGCCCATAAATCACTTGCACACTCTTACAAATAGCATCATAAGCTCCCAAATACACTACATTCATTCCCACACACACACACACATACACACACTACTGTATACATTTTTATATGCAGAGTCATACTCTCTCTCACACACACACACACACACACACACACACACACAACTGTACTTTTGCATAAACTCACTCACACATACAATCACTCTCTTACACACATACGGTTGTACCCCTTGTAGCCGCACCGACAGACTCATGACTCTGTGCATGACAATTCTTTTGTGTGAGACTGAGACTAAGACGAGCAGCATATAAAAAGGCCCACACAGGTGTTTTCAGTTACTCAGTAACAACAATGGCAGCTTGTTCAGTGTTTAGCATGTGCTGCTTGTTAGGTCGCTGCAAAAGCGCTGGCAGAGAGAAGCCACGTGAAATATGTTTATTAGTGTATGTTGTTCACAGTGCTGTTGGTCCATGTGGTGTTCTGTTCGTGCTGCGCTGAGCCGTTGACTCAAGCGGTATGTTCTCCTGCCCTAACAGGTGTAGCGATGCAAACGAAGAGTGAAGTGAGCTGTCAATCAAACCCGGTCTGTACCTGCCCAAAGAGACCTCAGGAGAGGTCTAATCAGGCCTACAGCAGTGAAAACACCTGTCCAAGTGCACAGTGGTTGTTTAAATGTTGATTGAATATGCATCTGACACACTTAAATAACAGCTGTAGTATACTTATTTTACTTTTACACACCTCATTTCTTCTAACTACCTGAATCGAGGGTGTAAGGACAGAGGGAGTTGAATGTAGTATGGATTGTAAAATCCCCTGTGGCAAATTGTGATTTGTGATTTTGGGCTACAGAAATACAATTTGACTTGACTCGACAGAGAAGCTAGCTGTTTCCACCAGTCTTTGTGATAAGCTAAGCTAACTGCTGGCTGTAGCTGCAAAAAACCCAACGGTAAGCATATTTTCTCAAAAAGTGGAACTATTCCTTTAAAATGACTAGATCAATTGCACAGGAAGATGCTGTAGCTGTAACCCTGACTGGTTTACAGCCTTGTAGCTGCTCAGTGGCACAGATAGAAACACTTAAGCCATGATGAGTCTAGGTACACCTCTTGTCTCACATATACTATAATGTGAGAGTTTAGTTTTAGGTTTTGTGACACTGTAGGAGAGTATCGTACTCTCTACAGTTGTGTACGATAGAGGGTCAGGGTCAGAGGGTACGGGAGTGTGTGTGGGAGAGCATAAAGAATGTATGTGCAGGATTATGCTGCTTTATGTCCTAAAATCCTCTTATACAGGAGAGACTGCGTGCGCATGTTTCAGCACACACACTGAGAATATTAAGATGAAAAACAGGAGAAGAAATCATGCAGGAGTGCTGTTGAAGTAATGATCCATATGGCGTTGTCGGGCTGGAGCAGCAGCGTACTGGCTTTTAGTGCCTGTCACATCTAGTTAGACCCTTTCTGGGTGAACGGGTGCTTTGCCTCGTTTGCTCTTAAACAGGATCGATGACGGGAATCAAAGAGTGAGAAGAAAAAAGGCGTGAATTGTGAGGCTGCCGTTCAGAGCAAGAGGAATATGTAATGTGATGTAAATTTAAGTGTGAATGAGAAGATGACTGTGTGGTAATTGTTCTCGGGCTGATAGCGAGCGAGAGGAAGACGTAATTTAATGTAAAGTGGCTCAGAGAGGGGGGGTGGTGTTGTCTCTTCCTGCCGGTCAAGTGCTCGTCGTGACACACTTTCTCATTGGCACAGATACCGATCATGGCTGCCCGTGTCATTCGTAAACAAATCTGTTAACTGCAATTAGTGCTGGATTCACGCACACAGCCGCCAATCTCTGTCCTTCAAATCTAAACTTGGCGAACGAGTCGAGGACCTGATGACACCGACTTGTTGCGCAACAACAATAAGTCATAAACAACAAGCAAAAGGCTTCTGCTGCCCACGCTGCACTCCTCTGCAGAGCGTGTGCCTCGCTCTATCTCGGCTTATGCAGAGTGGAGAAGCTCAGGGTAGCGCTGATGCTGGTTTCCATGGCAACCCCCGTGAACTGAACTCCCCCATCTGTCATGGCTGCCAGCCAGCCAATGGTACTGTGTGTGTGTGTGTGTTTGTGTTGTGATATGTCTCTTTCTGTGTTCATCTCTCATCCCGTTACTTCTCCCTCTCACTGAAATGCCAGAGGGGAAGCTTCTCCTCGTGAAGGGCAAACAGGGTTAGGCTCACATTCACAGAAATATACTCGCTCGGGGAGAGACACACACACAAACACACACACACACACACACCCTTACAAAGCTTCCACTGGGTACACCAAACAGGTCTTTGACACCTTTTTGCTCCGATCCAAAGCTTGCCTCTAAATGAATATTCTGGCATTCTAATAAAAAAAACGATAGAACACTTCATCTCTGAATAGAAAAACATGATCAGATGAATCTTAAGGTCACTGGCTGGCCTTTCCCATCAGGAGCTGGCCTGAGCCTGTCAGAGCCCCGAGGGCAGACTTAGTCCTTCGCTGGATGGCCGCTCTCCAACTGGAAAATCAATTCTTCCCTTTCCCCCACCCCCCGATCCCTTTGTGTGTCTTCGCCCTTCAAGCCATGTGAGTCCAGGCTCACTTGCTCCAAAAAGTATCTCCCCTTTCCTTGGAGGATAGGAGGAGATGGGGGAAGAGGCGGAAGAGGATGAAATGGAGAAATGAAAATACAACAACATTTTGGAGGCACAAGGAAGAATTTAAGTATGGTGCAAAGTGAAAAGAGGGTCTGTATAAAATGATTTCTAGGAAAGCATAGCGAAGAGAAAGTACAAAGTAAAAAAATGGGTGCTGAAAGGTATCGGAGCGAAGAAAAGTGCTGCAAAATGGGAACGGGGGAAAGAGAAGTGGGAAAGGACGATCCAGGCTATTTTCAGGTCGAGGAGCCAGGATTACCTCCAGTCTGTGAAGCCATCCAGTCCCACTTCTGAGTCATCCCTCTAATAGTGTACCTGGCTCTCCCCCAAGCTCTCTGCTGCTGAAAAATATATGAGCGCTGCAGGTGGGGTGGAGGGGGAGGAGGGGGGAGGAGGGGCACTCCGCACAGCTGACTTGCTATAGAGACTCAGGACTTTGAGGAGCGGATCAAAGATGGATCCATCCTCACTTCTGACTCTGGTGACGGAGCCATTTCAGAATGAAAAGAAAATCATAGCACAGTACGCCAGCAAGTGAAGGAGCTGAAACACTTAATAATCTGGTTTCCAATTAATGCATTTCAAACTAACTCAAGCTCAAAAACATGAATTTATCATATTTTGCTTTTCAAATATGCATAAAAAAGCACTTCGGTGTCCAACGCTCTCTGTATTACAATTCTATTCTTGGCATAATCCTATTTAATTGATTATCAAGGAGACGGTAATGTAGGAGGCAAATATTTGCATCAGTGGCAAAAGGAGATTCTTGGTTCTTAAGTATGGGAAACAACAGAGACAGTGTGAAAATATGAAAGCAAAAACTATGAATAGTGCAGATTCTGTGCCAAGAGTTTGGAGGAACACAACAAATATACCTTCCAATCTGAAGGAATGGCTCATGGATACACAATAAACACCCACATGCAAATGCATGGGGGATGAACCCACATTGTTGATGTGCTCAGTGTCTGCACACTCACACACACATACACACACACACACACACACACAAACACACACACCCTGACCAAATGATGATGCCACTTTCTTTTTTTTCCAACTGCAGTCTCCTCACATCAATATTTCAGTCTGCGAGACCACACTGGGATCATGAAAGAAAATGCAAGGAGCGAGGAGAAAGCATACACACATGTATACTATATGTGTTTTCCTTAAAGTGTGTGTGTGTGTGTGTGTGTGTGTGAAGGTCAGCCACAGTAGGGCAGGACTGAGGGTGCTCACACTGCAGATGGAGCCATGCTGCCTTTATGATTGATGGACAACCTCTCCAGACTCCTTGTGCGCAGCAGGGTCAGACGTAATCTTTTAAAAACTATACATACGTGGATGATTAACAGTACGGAGAGCGCTATTACATTTATACATTACAGGAATGCTCCCTGCTTGCTGAGTTTCTCTTTATTTTCATTCTGTTCAGCATCCACTCTGGGTGAGATTATATTATTATATTATGCTTATTTGAACAGATTTATTAACATATGATTATGTTCAGGTATTGTTTTTTCAGTCATGTTTTCCTTTATTCTATTGTTGACAGTAGAGACAGACAGGAAGCAACATTACATGCAATAAAGCCGGATTTGAACTGGGTATGCACTTAGACCACTGGGGCACTGGATGCCCCATGTCACATATAGTTACATTTATATGCTTAACAAGTCTGCAGCCATGCTAGCAGCTCTGTACTGAGCTAAATGCTAATGACACTGTCAGAATGCTGACAATGGGAACACGCTGATTGTAAAGCAGATCTAATATTTCTTAGTTTAATGTGTTTGCTTTTTAACATTTGTTTGCTAATCAGCTCTAAACACAGAGTGCATGTGAGAATGTTAATTTTTCCTTTAGTGCCACCACTACATTTGTGGTGACTGAAATTAGTTTGAAACTGAAATGTAGTACATACAAACTATGTTAGATATGTTTTTATATTTAGGTACAGCAGTGGTGGAAGAAGTAGTCACATCTTTTACTTAAGTAAAAATAGTAATACCAAAACGTAGAAATACTCTGTTACAAATAAAAGTCTTGCATTCAAAAGCTTATTTAC